ATGAGAAAGCTACACTGCAGTTCACTACCAGTGCCAATAATGGGCTCTATTACCCACACACTGCATTACTCCTGCCTGTCTGCAATCTGCAACACATATAACGTGGGATTGGCCAGGCTATTGCTGGTTCTTACTCAGTGAAAAGAGCTGATGGGGCAGCTAGTTCCCTTGAGTTAGCAGTAATAGTAGCTTGCTGTTTGACGAAAGTTTGAAGAACCAGAGAGTGATAGGCTTCCCACCTGTCACTAGTACAAAACAGAAACGATGTAAGTTGACCTGTTGGAGGGTGTCTCACTTACAATGCCAAGTTCTGACTAGCACCCATTCTGTTAAACACTGCACTGTTTGCTGCTGTAAATACTTTCAGCTCCAACTGTATATGACAGGTGTTTAATTATTTGTTGAGTGCAAGTTACCACATCTTTAAAGAGGCCACAATTTAATGAGGCCACAATTTAATGAAAACCTGTGGCAAACTTTTAATTTGCTTGTTTGGAAGGACTTGACCTGATGATGCATTACAACACAACACCTTTATGATAGATGGCATTTCTCTTGAATTTTTTTTTCTAAAATCATAAAACAACCGGGCCCATGTCAATTTCTTTTATTTGTAATTGGCAATGATCTGTTATATATTCTGCTTTCCAAGTTGCTTGTTTCACTTTGTGCCAGATACCAGTGAAAAATAAATGGTAGAACAAATCATTTGTTAAGTTCCTAAATTTAAAAAGTTGCTAATGGAATCCCATTCTATACTAAGAAGTGTAACGGCAGATGGGTTAAATTTAGCAGCTTTAATCAGATCCTTCATCAGAACAATAAAATTCTGTTTATCAAGAAAAAATACAAACGAACATTGTTTCCTTTTCTTGTTTGAACAAGTGTCATGAATTGTTGTGTGGACTTTATTTTTAAAATTGAAGAAATAAAGCCTTGGAAGTATGACAAGAAGTGAACACATATATATTCTTTTAAAAGTTAAAAACATATAACCTAAGGGTTTGTTGAAACAATGGGCTGCTCTCATTGCAGTTTGCTATTACATTGTTAGGCTGTGTTACCTTGGTAATGGCAACTGCTGTTGAAGGACAGGAATTGGCTCAGTTCCTTCAGTTGCCTGTCTGTTTGTGTTCAATACACGTGATCTGCAAGATAATCACAGTCTGCTGTAGTTGGTGCTATGCCAGACCATGTTAACAAAAGGAGCACGAGGATAATGTTTACCAACATTGGCCACATGGCTCCTTCCGTGACTTGCCCCAGCCTAGGGTACTGTTTCTGAAGGGTCATCCAATACAGTTAGAAGCCTCAGAGAAGAGTCATCTGTCAGGTATTGCTGAGTACTCTGAGAAAATTTAACAATTAAAACAAATATGGAAACCTTTTACTTTCAGATTTTTTTTCATTCTATGTGAAAACCTTTTCAATAACATTCCTTCATATATAGAAAACAAACCATATATGTATATCTTCACCTTTTGTTTTGACTTCAAGAGTGGATTGAAATATTCTTTAACACATTGACACTGAAGCAGAGCCTTTCAAAATAAGTTTCTGAGAGCCTAGATGTAAGCTCTTTGAGCGTAATGATTGTGCAATGGCAATGTTTACTGAATCTGCTTCACAAATCAAATTTAGTTTATTATTCACAGAACACCTGCAAAAAGAAACATTTGATACCTCTTCTTAAGGTAATGTTGCATCTTTCTTGTTCGTTACAGATATTAAAAAAAAATTATTTGAATAATTTTGGCTTTTAAAGGGTTAATAATCATCTGTAGGGTAATGACTTTTAGTTTTACTTTAAATATGCGGAGAAAATGCAACATTCTTTCTAACTACTGTTCAGTTGTGCTTTGGTCTGAAGCTTTGATCATCAGAGGCCCTACTTAATGCTTCTTACACTCCTGATGTTCACTTGTTTCTGCACATCTCACTAAGCCTGCTTACTATTTCAAATTCCAGAATATTTTACATAATTCATTATTATACTTTCGAGTAGTTTTGACATTTTTTGTAAGTTCACAGAAACAACTTTATTTTTATTTTATTCATGGCATATGGGCAATGCTGGCATGGCCAGCATTTATTACCTGTTCCCAATTGCCCTGAGAAAGCAATGGTCTTATAGTTTTATGGACTGCTGTATTTATGATCTTTGTATACTCACAAGCGTGTTAAAATGGGAGGTAATATACCTTTGAGGTTTTAGCTATGTTTTACACTGTTAATGAGGAGGATTCTGAGATCAGCTGTAGATGAAGACAACTGAGCAAAGTATCTTCAATGAATAAAGTGCGAGGGTCACTTATTAATATCATTCAGCAAATGGCAAATTCTCTACAAGGTAATGGTAGCACAAGCTAGAATTTAATTGGCTTGAACCTATTCAGAGGTTTAATAAATTATTCAAATTCTAATATAATTCCAAATATTAATATACCTGAATCCAACATAAAATAGTATGAGGAAGGTCAGGGTTAACTTGGACTCTGGGTGAACTCCCCTGGTCCTCTTCAAAAGGTGCTATGAGATATTTTAATTAAAATGTGATAGTGAAATAGGGAGCACAGATTCAAATTGAGGGTGCCAGGAAACTCTTCAAACAAATAAGCATCGACACACTGAACGGATTCTTAGTAACATGGTGAAGACAAATCGCAATCAATTGTTTAAGAAACTACTGAATGCTGTGATTAAACCTGTC